GGCCGGGCTGCGGGGATGCCACCTCCGGCTCGGGTGCGCGCCCCGCTTTTGGGGCGCTGGAGGAACGCGCGTCCTGAGAGCGAGGTGCCCCGAAGGGCTGCCGGGCCGGCCCGGGCCGGCCGCTGGCGTGCGCTTTTTTTCCTTCACCCTTGGTTTACGGAAAAGCAAATAGCGACTGGAGTTTATAAATCTAATTAAAAATGAAGTTGCATTTACATTTTAAAACCTTGCATATACCAGGCATACTGTGTCAAAAGATATTATGTATGATTTTACTTTGTGACAGAAACCATTACATTTAAAAATTCATTACAGCAAGGTTAGTTAGACACATGATGGATGCAGCTTTAATCCTGCCATATATTATTACAGTTAAAATGTAAATGATGAAAAATATTTTGTGCTTATCAGCATTTATGTGGAAATGTGTTTTACAGTGATATATGGTGTTATATTTCTATTATTATGATGAGAAAGAATGAAATACAAAAAGATGAAGTGTTTATTAAAACATGGTTACTTGTGATAAAATATTCTTGTTGTACATGACTTTAAACGTATTTACCGAGGGCATTTGTCCAAAACAAGTGTGAAATGTGTTTGCTATGCAAATCATTCTTTGTAATTTTTTTTCCCTCTGTTATACTGACTATAGCTTTCTAATAGCCTAATGTAAAAGCCATGTAAATATGTTTTTATTATTTTTCATTTCAGACAGGCTGGGGGGGGACGGGGGCTGCCTCTGTTTACACATGTGCCTGTATTCAGATGGGATGGAGGGATACCTAAAAAGATAGCTAAAACAGACATAAAATTTATCCTAGGAAAGCCCCTTTCTACTTTGTCTTGCTTTGGTTGCAGGCTATCGAAGCCTGGCCTGGACGGCGTGGTTGGCGTCCCGCAGGAGCGGAGCCCGTCGCCCCTCATCCTGCACGGCGGCTCGGCCGGCCCCTACGCCCGGCCCCGCTGACGCCCGGTGGGCTGACGCCTCGCAGAACTGAACCTTCGGCTCGCACACCGGCTGAAGGCTGACTTCTGCCCAGGCTGGGTTTGGACCCTCCTCCTTCGCATACAGGCCCTGCTGCTTGCACGGGAGAGTCACCCCCCGGGAAGGGAAACCCGAATGGTTAGCCTTGCCCCAAGTAAGGTGAGTTTTTAATTGTGCTTGCACTTTAGATGAGTCCTGCCAAGGCAATCTGTACAGCAATTTCCTCCTAATTTTGAAGGGGAACAAGTTTGGGGTTCAGTATTACATGTTGCAAATCCCTAGGCTGGCTAAGTTATTTTTTGTTTTTTTTTTTTTGTAAGAATTTTTACTTCAACGGCATCCCTTCAAGAAGACTTTCTGGCACTGAGGGCCTCATTTCCACAAGCAAAAGCCAGTATAATCTTGCACAGAACAATACAAAGGCAAAAAAAAGCTATAAAGTGACTTGCCCAGCATCCCACAGGAAGTCTGTGGCAGAAAAGAAAATAAAAACTTGAGGGTCTTGAAACTTAGGAATTTAACCATTATGCATATATTCCTACATGTGCTCTGCCCACTGGAAATATAGTGTATTTCAAGTTTGCTCTGCTGGTACTTCTATTGTATCTGACTGACCACCACATTATTCTGATATTCAATCAACCTAATCACACAGAAGATGCTCCATTATATCCTGCTGGCACCCTAACTTGCTGCTACTTCCACAGTATACCCAGTAGTTATTTTCTGGATGCGCTTACTACAAGTTTACTCAATTTTGTT